AAGGCTGAGTCAACCCTGAGCCGGTGAGATTTGAACAGCCGAGCTGCAGAACTGCAGTCAGCTGAAGTAGCCTGCAGTGCCACCACTGTGCCACCTTGTGTAAAAGCACTATGAAGCGATATATAAGTCTAAGTGCTATTGCTAGTCCCATAATATTGTCCATCCTTCCTGCACTAGTTCAGAGGTGTCACATCACAGCTACTATTGTTGTTAAAACATGTATACTGCCTGACTCTCAACAACTTTGGGTGACTCACAACAAAGAAATTACATTAAGCCAAAACATTAAAAAAAAATAAAGACGGCAAGCATGATGAAGTGAGTGGTCTTACTTTCTCTTGCTGAATCTGAGGTGAAGTAATAAGATTTACTTCTCAGTTACAGCTCCAACAATGGACTCCTTAATGTTCACAGACAAGATAGTGAGAGGATGCTTTAGATTCAGTATAGAATGAGCTGGAAGGGACCTTGGAGGTCTCCTAGACCAGCCCCCTGTGAAGCAGGAGAACCTATACAATTTTAGATAAGTGACTGTCTAGACTCTTCTTAAAAAACATCCAGTGATGGAATGCCCACAATTTCTGCAGGCAAGCTGTTCCGCTGGTTAATTGTTCTCATTGTTAGGAAGTTTCTCATTAATATGAATTAATTAGTATGAACTTAACTAATGGTCCTTGTATGAAACCAAACATAGGTACCTAAGCTTGCTGGGGTTTTCCCCCCCAAACTTTGCTTTTATTACTGAATTAAGATTCTGTCTGACTTTTCCTGTGTAGTCAAAGAAGAAGTTTTATGACACTGAACTAGAAAACCTAGAACGGCAACAGAAACAGCTGATTGAAAAAATGGAGCAAGATCATGCACTGCACCGGCGAGATGAAGCTAAACGTATACGTGCTGAGCAAGAACGGGATCTGGTTAAATTTCAAGAACTGCTGAAACAAAAAAAGAAAGAGGTAAAGCTTTGAATTCTTACACGCTAGGATAATATTCAGATGCTGTCAGTTAAAGTGTTTGTCATAAACAAAGCAGTTCAAGGGCTTGGAAGGTGAAATCCAGGACGATGAAGAAAGTAGCCTGAGGAGGAAAAAATATACAGGAAGGGGACTAAGAGAAAGAAGAATGAAAAAGTAGGGTGAGAGAGACGGGAGGAAAACCTGAAGAGCTAACGAAGTTGCTCAATGATTGAGTTGTAAATTGTAAAGTTCCTGGTTCAAATCTCACTTCTTCCACAAACTCTTTCAACATCTTTAGACATTTCTCTATAGCCACATTAGAAATACATTCTATTGACCTAGGTGGGATTGCTGAATAAAAAGATATTTAGGGTGGAATATGGGGGACAATGCCAATTTAAAAATGGCCAATAATAAAAGAATGAGCAACAGCAAGACAGTAGGAAGGAGAGACAGAAGAGAAACAAAAAACTGACTGCACTCTTCAGCTTTCTGCTAAATGTATGAAACTTTATTATAGATCCTTCTAAGCTACAAAGGGCTCCCCAGTGGTTCTGAACACCTCAAAAGTTTGACTGCTTGTCTTTTTCCTTCTTATGAAGCTCAAGAATGACATTGAAAAGCTCCCACGGCAACAACGCAAGAGCAGCATGAAAGTGAAGATGGATGAATTTGTACAAAAAAAGCAAGTTATGGTAAGGCACAAGAGAGATTTAATTGACATTGTAGCACAAACTCTTACAGCAACATTAGATTCCCAACCAGAAACACTATGGATTATCTCAAAGACTTTCAGAGTGTCTGGAATTCTAGTTTCTAATTAGTTTGAGAATTACCGTTCCAACATATCTAAAAGCTGGCAGAACGTTGGGAAAGTTCTGGCCGGCCAAGATGAGCATTCATACATCTCCTCTCTCATTCCAGGAACAAGACTTTATAGCCAAGCAATCTGAGGATCTGGAGCAGGCTATGAAAAACATTACAGCTCAGAATCGGAAAGAGATCTGTGAGAAAGAACGCGATTGCCTCAATAAAAAACAGCAACTTATGAGAGGTACTTCCCCCCCCCCTTAAATGGACCAGTTAGAATGGATTACGAGTAATGAAGTCAGACTAAGAAGAATATGCTTTCATTTAAAGGCAATGCAGCCTATTGGAGAACATTGAGAAAGCTGTAAACAGGAAGAATGCAAATCCATCAGAGTAACAAGAAACATGCCTTGGGTTGCCTTGAGTGCTCATCAGTATTTATATTATGGAATAATATTTTAAGTTTTTAAAATAATGTTTTTAAGATAGAGAGTTGTTTTTGGAAAAGTAGCCAATTAATCTGAAGTTATAAGTTTCCAGGCCACTTTTTTTGTCACAGTGCTAGCTTGAAAGCCAACAATAAAGCATCAAAAATAGAACTTACCTCTAACACGGGGATGGGAAAACTTGTGATATTCCAGATATTGTGATCTACAGCTCACAGCTTCCTGGCTGGTGCTGGTGAGAGTTGGAATCAAAAACAGAAATAGAAATGCAAAAGTAAATCTTTGCCACAGATTTCCAAGGAAGCAAAATCTACCACAGTATGAATTCTTCCCAAATTGTAGTATCTGGTTGTTTATCTTTCTTTAATAAAAGACCTCTTCTGAAGAACTGTTTGTAAAAGATATGATGGAAAGAGATCTCATCTGTCACAAAGCCGTATTTTATGTACATAAAGTGTACTTTTTAAAAAGTATATATGTGGAATAGATATGCAAAGAGAAAAAAGTGCTAAGTTCAGGAAAGCAGGAGTTCAAAAGCACTGCAAGTTTATTCCCTAAAACCTATATACAAGAACCTGATCTATGAACAGTCAAGGCAAATTGGTGCCAGATAAATCAATAGACTAACCCTAACCCTAATCCTAACCCTGGATGGGGGGCTGGATTTAGGTCTCTCTTGGGGGGTTATAGTGACTCCAAACTTATGATGCATTTGACCTTCTTCTCAGGCTCAGCCTGATCATCTACTAAAAAATTAAGAAAGAAAGCAGAGAAAAAAATATTTTAAAATGGCAATAGTGAAATTTGTATTCAAAATTATACATCAGGGAGGCTTATCATTTTTTTTTAATGTGAATCAGGAAAATTGCATGCAAAAGCTTCATACTTCATAGGAGATGCTTCAAGGTACCATTAATTTTTGAAAATTAGTTTTAAAAAATGGTATTAACACAGCAATCTATGGATTGTAGGAACACAGCTAGGGAAATGATTATTTTTATTGATCACTAACCACTAATCTAAAGGCTCACAGGTTTCCCATCTCTGTAGCAAAGATTTTTGCAGTCAATTCCCTCCCCCCCCAAAACATATTCTTCCTCTTTTCTTGCTTTGGGACCCCCTGTGGAAAGAAAAACTGCTGCTCTTGTCATTCATTCACCTTTTAATTTCAGGCCCATAATGTCATAATGTAAAGAGAAGACAGAAACTGAACATAAGGGTAGACACGTTGACATTGAAATAGTTACTCTTCCTCTCTCTGTTCAAGTTTTGAATGACCATATATAAATATATAAATATATATATTTAACCCTGTAGACCGAGAAGCTACTATTTGGGATCTTGAAGAGCACCATCTGCAGGAGAAACACCAGACTTTGAAACAGCAAATAAAAGATCAGTATTTCCTCCAGAGACACGAGCTGCTCCGGAAACACGAGAAGGTAGCAACATTTTCCTTTTTCCGTTCTTTTGAATTATAGGTGGGATCTAAAGTTGCAGATATACAAAGCAAGCGTGCAGAAGAATCGGACTGTGGAGATATGGGAAAGCTTATTTGGTCACAATGCTGATGTTTTAAAATTGTATGGTAACAGTGGGTTCCTAAGAGCTCCTGGAAAAAAATATTCTGATTATATACAATTATAGTTATTAGGGGGAGGACACACGCTTAGAGTTAGTCTCTCCTAAATTAGGATTCTCTCAATGTGTTGGGTTGTAGTTCCAATATCCACTGTGATTATAGTCAAGTTTGCTAAAGAGAGTTTCTCCAAACCAGATCAAAATGTGATTTCCAAGAAAGAAACAACAACATTAGATCAAATGTTCTATCTCCACCTTTTGCTATGATAGAAATTGCATTGAACCTTTGACAAAATTCCTTATCTTACATTATGGAACAATGTCTTTCATTTCCATTAGAGATGATTCTAATGTTCCTTCTCTATATAGAGGATACTAATATATACAATAATATTGTACTAATAGTACAATAATATATATTGTACTTCTGATTTATTGGCACCTGTACTGTAGATCTGGATGATTGATAATATTCATATATTGCTTATCATGTGCATAGTTTATTACACATCACTACCCATTTCATTGAACAGTAGTCTTTCTGCACATAAATAGCATACTGATTATGATTTCCATTAAGAAATCCCACTGGGTAGATCTGTAATTTGGCAGCTTTCGATGATAGCTTTTATGTTTCAGCTGGCCTAATTAGCATTGTCGTCTCTGTGATAGTTCCCAATAGCTTATGCTAGGGATGCATTCATAGGAGCTGGAGGCATTGATGTTATTTCCTTCAGAAAAAAAATGTATTAGCCTCCTCTGCATCTTCAGATCTTCCAGATTGATATTACTTCTCTCCCCCCCTCCACCAACAACCCTTTTATTTTTTGTTCAATAATTTGCGGCTCCTTGCCATTGATGTCTCTGAATGCAATGTGGGGCATGCTCTTACACTGGCTCCCACCACTCTGTTGATTTATATTGCAGGAACGCGAGCAAATGCAACGATATAACCAGCGCATGATAGAACAGCTGAAAGTTCGGCAGCAGCAAGGGAGGACCCGTCTCCCCAAAATTCAGAGGAGTGAAGGGAAAACCCGCATGGCCATGTATAAAAAGAGTCTCCATATCAACTCCAGTGGAAGTGCCTCAGAACAGAGAGAGAAGATAAAACAGGTGAAGTTGACTGTCAGAGCTGGGTAAAGGGATCTGCCTGAGAACATTCATTAGATATAGAGATGTCTTGGGACCACCAGTGTTCTTCAACTTCTTCATAAATAACTTACATTCCAGTTCAGCGGACCAGCAGAGGCAGCAGCAGCGTGTGGGGTGGGGGCAGTAGGGATGGTTTTGATAAGGCACACCACTTTCACAAATGCAGCTTCACACGCTTGCATGCATGTGCTCATTCACAACTTCCATGGCCTGGTTCCAAACAGGCTATGGGCCACCACTAGGCCATGAACTGGAATGTA